GGAGAAGGCCTTCCCAGAAGGCGGCGGGGCTTCTCAGAAGCCCTCGCGCCTTCTGAGAGGTTTTCGGATACACTTTTTGTGCGCTCCGCGCGGATTTCTTGGATCCGCGCCTGGGCTCCCCCGGCGGCGCCTCCGGCGCCGCCCCTGGCGGGCTCCGCGCGGAGCGCCAAAAGTTTATGTTTATGCCATTTTCCCTTTTTCTGTTGTCAGAAGGCGGCGGGCCTTCTCGGAAGCCCTCGCGCCTTCTGAGAGGTCTTGTGTGTCTCCGGGGAAGGCCCGGGAAGCTTCTCAGGAGGCTGTGGGGCTTCCGAGCCTTCCGAGGAGGCCCTCCCCTTCTTGCTTCCCCCCGTGCTCGCGGCCGAGGGAGGGCACGGGATGAGGGGGCGGAGCAGGACAGGTGTAAGACCACGACGCATCAACGATGCTGCAACACACCCTCCCTCCAAGTTCCCTCTTGGCGGGTCCTCCGAGCTCCAAACCATCGACTGAGAAGAGCTGCGGTGAGCCCATGAAGTTCGGGGTCCGATCAAGAAGCTCTGAGTCCAGGGCCACTCCTTCTCCTTCTCCTCCTCCTCCTCCTCCTCCTCTCCTCCCTCCTCCTCCTCCTCCTCCTTCTCCTCTTCCTCCTCCTCCTCCTCCTCCTTCCTCCTCCTCCTCCTCTCCTCCTCCTCCTCCTCCTCCTCCTCCTCGCCCCTCCTCCTCCTCGCCCCTCCTCCTCCTCCTCCTCCTCCTCCTCCTCCTCCTCCTCCTCCTCCTCGCGCAGGCCGCCAGCCGGCCCCGTCTCCCCCTGAGGGCGGGGTGTCTCCGCGCATGCGCTCCGCTCCGCTCCGCTCCGCTCCGCTTCACGGGGCCCCTGCAGGAGTTTGGCTCCACTGCGGGCAGCGGCCCGCTGGAAGACAGCCGTCTGAGAATCCTCACCTCGTGTCAAAACAACGCAGCTCCTGGGACTTCAGCTAGGGGGGCACATGCGACCCTACCCCTATTCCCCCACGATTTCTGAGGGGGAGGGTGTGGTTCCCTTCGCTCAGGAGCTGTCGAACGAAGTGAACCCCATCCTCCCCCTCAGAAATCGTGGGGGGTAGGGGTAGGGTTCGCATGTGGCCCCCTATCAGCGCCGTGAATCAACATCACCGTGTGCCCAGACATCCCGAAATCGTGTCAGAACGCAGTTCCCAGGACGTCGGGTTGGCGAACGGTGCGCTCCCTGCTCTCGCTTGCGGAAGTTGGGGCGCTCGCCGATCGCCTCTCGTTGCTTGGCATGGCCCCCTGCTCGCCCTTGCGCCCCTCGGGGCCTCCCCCGTCGTTGCTGCTTGCTGATGGATCGACACGCGCCAGATCGGCACTGACGGCGTCACCCTGATAAGGATCAGATTTCGCTCCTCGGCGGTAAGGGGATATGCTGGTGGCAAAAGTGGCAAAGCGTCGTGGTGCCCCTCGGGAGGCCGAACAAGGACGTAACGCCACCCAGCAGGATTCCCCAGGACGTCAACACTGAGGAACCAAGTGACAGTTAGGTCCTGACAGTCCTACGTCGTGTCAGTCCTGAGCCTCCGGCCATACGAACCCTTGAAACTGTAGCAAACATTGGACGAATGTGCGCGGCGCTTATGCGAGAGCCAGTTTTTGACAAGGAGCCGCCATCCATCCTTGAACATTCTGCAGACCCTCCGAGCGAGTGTGCGCGGCGCCCGGCTCTCTTCCTCTGCGGTGGTCCAGCGCCGTCGGTCCTGCTCCGACGCTGGCCCCCCCTCCTCCTCCTCCTCCTCCTCCTCCTCCTCCTCCTCCTCCTCCTCCTCCTCCTCCTCCTCCTCCTCCTCCTCCCCCCTCCTCCTCCCCTCCTCCTCCTCCTCCTCCTCCTCCTCCTCCTCCTCCTCCTCCTCCTCCTCCTCCCGCCGACGCGCGAGACGTGGCAGGATGCCCGTCGGGTGGACGCGTGAGCCCCGCGCCTGCGCGGGTGCACGTCAGGCCAGGGGCCTCGGCGCCTGGCCGGGGGGTGTGCCTGGGTCGTCGGGTGCAGCTCGGCCCCGCGGGCCCGGCCACGAGAGGTTTCAAACGCTCAACGGCACCGTAAAGGGTACTTACTAACGGGTACTTTGAGTTTTTGCCGAAAGTTGCCACTTTAGGGCCTTTTTCTTGCATTGCAGCTTTGCCCACATCGGGAAGTGTTGGGCTCGCTGGGTCAGTGGCCAAAGTACCCGTTAGTGGAGTCCCCGTTTGAGGGGCGCTGAAACGCCCCCGCCCCCCCCCCTGCCCTCGCGCAGCAGGTGGTGCTGCTGGTCAGCGAGTTCTGCGAGTCTGCCCTGGGCTCAGCCCCGCCCGCCCCGCCGATGGAGGGGGGGGCCGAGGCAGCACCGGGCTGGAGGCGCCGCTGGCCTCCACTCCCAGGGGTTACGCTGCATCGTCGGGCGACCGTGCCTGTCGTGTACCTTCCAGTCCTTCCCTGTACGCTGGCGTGGGTTCGACGCGGATTCGACGTGTGCGACATGAATTCGACGCGGATTCTACGCAGACAGCGGCGCGATGGGACAGACAAGGTTCCTCGAAGATGCACCATAACAGGAGGAGGAGGAGGAGGAGGAGGAGGAGGAGGAGGAGGAGGAGGAGGAGGAGGCGGAGGAGGAGGAGGAGAAAGAGGAGGAGGAGGAGGAGGATGCGGAGGAGGGCGAGGAGGAGGAGGAGGAGGCGGAGGAGGAGGAGGCGGAGGAGGAGGAGGAGGAGGAGGAGGAGGAGGAGGAGGAGGAGGAGAAGGCGGAGAGGAGGGGATTGTAGCTTCTGCGGCGTTCCGGGGGGTCTGAGGGTCCGCCTTCTCCCTCCTCCCTCCTCTTCTCCCCTCCCCTCCCCTCCCCTCCCCTCCCTCACTCACTCCCTCCTTTATTCCCTCCCTCTTCCTCCTCGTCCTCTCCTCCTCCTCAGCCTCCGTCTAGGACTCGAGACCAACGGGTTCGGCAGTGCAGGGATTCAGCACACGTGTAGTCTCCCAGGCTTCGCGCCCTGCCAAGCGCTGATGTCACTGTTGGTGGTGATGGGGGGCTCTCTTGCTGTTGCCACTCCTGTGCAGAGATATGGCGGCGGGACACCCACGATGCGAATCCCGACCTACAACCCCATCCATGCGGGCCTCCCACGAGAATCACGATGACATATCGGAGGAACTCAGGGGTTGGGACATATATCCCGATTGCGGGTGCGAAACACAGTTGGCTAGCGGAGGAAGCAGTTACACAAGGGAGGATGGGAAAGTATGGGTGATTGCAAAATGGATAGGGACAAAGGAAGTACGTGAACAATAGCTGTGGTGTGACGATCATGGTCAGTAGCCGCATGCCACAAGCATGCTTGTGAGACGTGTATGTGCCACTTGGCATGCAGAGAAGACATGTTTAGGAGCGAGACTACAAGGGCCATAGTTTCACTTTGCAGTGTGTTGTGTCTACCTGGCGAATACACACGAGAAAACAGCAACGTAGCGACATGGCTAAACAACGTCATCCACATACCTATACAACCACCCTGCGGGTGATAAGGAGGTTGGGGGAAGGCAACAATGGGCAAAAGTGGTGATTGTTGTTCTGACGATCTGCATTTGGATTTGCATTTGGATGTGCAAACCGATTTGAATTCCGATGTGCTTTTTCCCTATCTAGGCTCTGCCTAGAAGGGTTCTTACCCTCTTGGCTTAAAGGGGCCGGGCAGTGGAACGCGCCCCGGGCGGTTCCCCCAGGATCCGCCCCGCGGTTCCCCCAGTTACGTCCCCTTAGCTTAGCGTTGCTTATCTCATCTTAGCTTAGCTTATGCCACCTCATAGCCAACATAGCATAGCATAGCATAGCATAGCATAGCATAATATAGCGCAGCATCGCATAACATAGCATAGCGTATCATATCATAGCATAACATAGCATAGCGGAGCTTAGCATATCATATCATAGCATAGCTTAACATAGCACAGCGCAGCATGTTATAGCATAGCTTAACACATCATATCATATCATAACATATCATAGCATAGCGCAGCATAGCATAGCATAGCATAGCATAACGCAGCATAACATGACATAACATAGCATAGCATAGCATAGCAACTAATGCTGCTTTCCTAGGGGCTCCAACTTCTAGGTAGGGTCGCACTGGGGTAATCGGTCTGCATGTCGGTTTGCATGCAGACTTGCATTGGATAGCTCGCCGCAAGCGGCGATGCTTTGAAATGCACAACCCACGGCGGGACACCGGCGGGACACCAGCGGGACACCGCGGGACACCGTTTGGTGGGAGGAGCATCATTTGGTCCGGCCGCGGCCCAGCCACAGGAGGATTTCGGGACACCAGCGGGACACTGGCGGGACACCGCGCGCCAACGGCCGCCGGAGGAGAAACATTTGGACCGGCCGCGGCCCAGCCACAGGAGGATTTCGGGACGCCAGCGGGACACCGGCTGGACACCGCGGGCCACCGGCCGCCGGAGGAGAAACATTTGGTCCGGCCGCGGCCCGGCCTCAGGAGGATTTCCTCTCGCCCGCCCACGCAGCTTCGCCTCGCCCGCACGCACGCACAGCACGCACGACACGAACCCCAAACCGAAATCGATTTCCTGGTAGGGGGGTCTCCGTTTCACGTCGGACTCACCCCCCAACTTCCGATACACACATAGGCTAGGAGTACGTACTATTATAGTGGTGAAAGCGGATCTGAGCTCGGAATTGGGGATGGCGCGCGCATCTGACGGGGTAATTCTGCGTGTGTTGGGGATCTCAGTGGTGGACAGCTTCCCTGCTGTGGAGAACAGCAATAGCGGGTATTCAGAGATTTCTGTGAGCGGAATGAACCGTTCTTGTGTGCGACGGACCACTAAGCGGTATCTACTTTCTTTGGGCAGCAGGGAGGAAGGAATATCACCGACCACATTGCCGTATCTGTGCATGCGCGTGCATTGGTACACATGTGTCGGCCATTACCACAAGTAGCATAACAACTACAAGTAATCCGAGCACGAGGCCATGGAGACCACCTACCTGTATCAATCGACCTCCACATCACCATCCAACAATATCAGAAGCCCAGTTACCAGCGCAAAGAGAAACTCGACAGATATGCCTTGATGAGAAGCCTTTAAACAGGCGTCCAGCGGGACGGTCTCGTAGCTACGATCTGCAAGGGTTTTAGAAGATAGACGACACGATCTGGCAGCAAACGCTGCAACAAGCCAATTGTGATCGGTACTGGGATCTGTTCGGTACATGCGCGTGCGCGCAGCATGTACGGCAGTCTTCCCAGCATGCAAGAGTGAATCAGAAGAGCTCTGCGACGCCGTACGAACACACCGGATGGAGCTAGTATATAATCGCCAGGTTATATGTACAAAAGTGGTCGGATCACAGAGCGACGCAGGGTTGGTGCAGATTTTGGAAGATTTGAAAGAAGCCAGCGCCGGCCTTAAAGACCTTGTGGGCGAAATCGACGAGAAGATAAATAAAGAGATTGTGTAGCAGACATGTGAGGCTTACAAAACCAACCAATTCGCCGAGATGCACCGCCTAATGGTGGAATGCCAATACATATGGGCGCGGCCCGAATCAGTGGTTCTATTACGGACGCAAAGCATCGTGGTCACGGCGCACGGGGGGTAGAGAAACGGGACGGCCTGCTTGTGAAGGGGGCATGTTTTGTGTGGAACTGGAGTGGGGACAACTCCGACATATTTATTACGAGTCTTGTGCAGAGGCTGAGCTACGACTATTGGATACAGAGATACTTGACATAGAACGCATCGACCGCGAGCGCAGGATTACTTACCGCAAGCGAGCAAAAAACGTAAAACTTGCCCCGTCTTTGGGAGTGCCTGTGGAGGTGGTATGGGTGCTAGTGAACCCCAGGGTACACTTTGCACGCCCAAGCGACGCCAACGAAGCATTCGCATAACGAGCTGTAGAAAGAGCAGACCATCGAGAGGACCATGATGAGCTCGAACGCTACACCACCGAATACAGTTACCGTCTGGGACGCAAATTGCTCGAGCAAGTCGGCTGGAACAGAGAGGAAAACATGGCGGCAGGACAGACAGCAACAGACGAACCACCACAAGCACCTATCGAACCTAATCTACGGACCTTCGCACGGCCAGCGGGGGCAGGGGTGGGCGTGGAACCATCCGAAACGACATAGTACCCCTTCCCGGAACGACTACAGGAGCTCCAGGTGCACATCAGGAGATGCGAAACCATACCGCTCGGCATGCATCTTTCTCGTGCGTTCTCAGCAGAGGAGGCCAACGACAAGCCAGACGTAGGCGGCAACATAATTATTCATGCATGCTGCGCCTTCAACATGGCTAGGCACGCTGGACTACATTGCTTTTCCCAGCCGTCAAACACCCGCCATGTGCCCAGTGCGGGCTTGCACGTCGGAGCCGTGAGAACGCCATCGTCACCCTTCTAGCAATGCAATGTCGCAGTCGAGAAGCAGGAGTCTCATCGGCTATCAGAAATTATGGTGGGGCCAACGATATTGCTAACACAGATAGTCGGCTGTTATTGGCGTTCGCAGAAGCTCAAGTAGCAGGAGAAAGCGTATAGTGGCTTACGACATGGCTCCCTACGCTTTCCACTGTTGATTTCTCCTATCCCTCGTTTTTTCTTTCTCTCCCCCTCCCCTCGCCCTCTTCGCCCCTTCTGGTCTGCCTTCCCCTCCTGCCTCCGCTTCCCCTCCCCCCCGCCCGTCCCGCCGCCCCGCCCTTGTCCCCCCTCGCTACCCCGAGCTGCGGGAAGTAGCGGGCCGTTAAAGGCCGGTCCCACGTGCCCCCCGTTGCAGCGCCTTGGGGTCAGTGGCCCGCCTTCCTTCCCGCCGCTTGCCTCCCCCAGCCCCGTCATTGTTTGGGCTGCTGATGAGGGCGCGCTGGCGCGCGCCCGCCCCCCGCGGGCCCGCGCGGGCCCCCGAGGGATGCGGGGTGCATGACTGGACTCGCAGCGAAAAGCGGAACAAAAAAGCGTGATGCACGGACGTGGATCGTTCGAACACAGCTTGTTGGCGATAGAAGCGCCGGACGGACCAGCAGACCTTCGTTCTACAACCGGCGCGCAAATTTGCTTTAGCACGGCACCGAAGGACTTCAAATACGCCTGCAATGTGGCGGTCCAGCAATGGAATGTAGAAGATCGTGAGCACCAGTACCAAATATATAACGACACCAGCAACCTCGCCGCCGGCCTGGCGCATGATCTTGAGTTCAGTACGTTTGTGACCCAGCGAAGAGCAGTCTTTTTGGAGAAGAAGAGGAGGCCGACCAAATGGGGCAGAGACTCAA